AGCGACATAGGAAAAGCAACTAGTGGTTACATCAATGAAACTCAAAACAATCTGAGTCCTGATTGTTTTTTAAATGTAGTCCATAACATTTGGAAAGTAGGCTAGGTGTTTTTAAAAATATATATAATTTAATGCAGGAAGAAAAATAAAGATCAAACAATGAGTAAAAGGAAAAAAAGAGGTTACAAACAATTACATTGTCTGGGTGGAAAGAAAACTGATAGTAGATAAGTATAAAATCTCAGCCATTTCTAAGGTTTTACATTTTTATTGATTTTTAAACATTCAATTATAATAATTTGAGAAGAATATATTATCATAGGAGTTCAAAAAGAAATACGCATTACTAAAGAAGCATTAAGGAACATTAACTAAATCAAGATGAAGTAGAAATCATGTGGATTATTCATTTTACTGGGATATTTAACAGCTACTCAGTAGTTTAAGAGTTGTTACAGAGGGCATAAATCCCTGGAGATTGAGGAGAGTTACTGGATTATCTGTCTATTAGTCAAAAGGGGAAAGGAAGCCTTCATAATTAAGTAGCTGTCTCCTGAACTTCAATACCCAGAAAGATGAGTACAAACCATCAAGCAATCAATTTGCAATAACAGAGAACTGAGAACAAAGAGGGACTGACAAGTCTTTCAGAGAACAGTTTTGTTTCATGATGAAGAGACAGAAAGGTATTAAAAGTGTCTTTAAGAGATGGAGACGACATGGATTCTAGTAATACATTTTCATCTTAAATCAAAAACTGAACTGTTGACCTCAATATTGCAATAGAGTATATGATATGCATACAGTCTTTAAAATAATTTGAATTAAAATATATTTTGTTTCACGAATTAAATATTCCTTATCTATGAGAGATATCTGAGATATTTTTATCTATAATCACAAAGGAATTTCACTTCTTTCCATGAGAACAAAGGTAATTTCACCCAATTTTATAGGGTTGTCACAATATTGAAACAATCTGTATGGTTATTCTATTATTCAAGACACCATGTCTGTGCACATAAATAATCTTATCAATCAAGTCCTACAAAAAGGCCGTCAGGAGAAGAAATTTTGCCAACATAATCACTTTGCTCCTATAATGAATAATAGACTCAGTATTGGCCATCAATTTATCTTATTGTTGCATTTGGCATAATTCCTCTGGAGTAAACTTGATGAATATGAAAAAAATAAAAAGATAAATATCTCTATTATCCCCAAATATGACATATGGTCATTTGATATTCATTTTTTCAAAATTTGGTGGCATTATTTAAGTAACTGTAGGTTTCTGAAATGAGCATCATATATAATGACCTTAGTGCTTTCACACTCCAATCACTGTGAGACTTCATTATTTTTTCTCAAGAAAAATGTAGTTAATAATTTAAAATTGTAACATTCACCAGGATTGTACTTTATATTGAATCTTTCTTAGCTAAATTCAATAGTCCAGTATTGAACCATATCCAGTAATGTTTTGGCAACACTATATCAAAAAATTATTATAAAAATAAGAATTGGTTGGAATTAAATGTGAAAATAGCAGTTTTTTTCAAAAAGAAGAAAATAATGCTCCACAATATTAATATCCCTATAACATGGTTTCATTCAACATAAATAACTACAGAGCAAATAAAAATATAAAACTTCCCCCAGTACTTTGTAAGTATATTTGCAGTTTTTACGTAACTCTCCAGAAATAGTCTATGCAGAACCAATATCAATGTTTTTTATTTATTCAAATATGCTGATAAAATATTCTATTTTAACTATTTTTATTTGAAATTATTCCACATTAGCAAATATAAACATGCATCATTTTTTTACTGCCACATAATATTCCATGGAGAATATACCACACTAAATCAACCTGATATGATGGATATTTAGAATTTATTATTAATTTTGTATTGGAAAAAAAACCTGTTCTAAATTTATATCAAGAATTGACTGAGTCATGAAAGAATTAAAAATTCAATTATATTTTACAGAAGTCAAAGTACACATGAGCATTTTCTCAAGATCAAATAGAAAAGAGATATCACCCAATCAAGTTACTTTGGAGCATTAGGGAGTCAAGTTTTGGGGTAACTAAATGAGATAATGTTTGTGAAATATTATCTAACTACTAGGGATCCAGCCCACAAATCTGTGCACCTTGAAAGGAACTGTGGGCTGCAAAGCTGTGGTGGGCACAGAGGCGGGTGTTGGCCCATCCTCCGTGACCCTGCCCAGCCCCTCCTGCCGTGAGCCCCTCCCCCCGTCTGCCAGCAGCCCCGCTTCCACTGCTGCTGCTCCCACCGCTGCCGGCACTGGCCCCGCTCGCACCTGCTGACGGTGTGGAGCGATTGGGGCCGGCGTCAGCAGCGGGTGCTAGCAGCGGCTGCTGCCCCAATTACCCCTCAGGAGCAGGGGGCGGTGGAGAAGCCCTCAGGGACGATCAGGGCCAGCAGCCGCCGCTAGCGCCCATTGACAGCACCAAGCAATCGGGCCGGGACCGGGTGCCAGCAGCTGGTGTGAGCACGGCTCTGGCGCCAGCAGTGGGTGTGAGTGGGGTCGGCACCAGTAGCAGATACGAGTGCCGGGCAGGACCACAGCGCATGGGAGCGAAGAATTTTTAGTAACCTCCAGAGGCTCCCCGGATGATAGCGATGGGTGCCCCACCTTGTTCTGGTGCCCTTGCTCACCAGCTCCACCATCCAGATGTGGCCAATGCCCGCCATGTTCCACAGCTCTCCCGCCTGCTGCCAATGCCTGCCATGTTCTGTGCACACCCCCTGGTGGTCAGCGCACGTCATAGCAACCAGTTGTTTGGTTGTTCAATTGTTCGGTTGTTCCGCCATTTGGTCTATTTGCATATTAGGGTTTTATATATATAGATTAGAAAACAATCAGGGCTAAAAAAAATGTTCATTTTGGAAGTAGCCCAGAGATGGTGGTCAGGGGCCAGTGTGTGAGGCCAACCAAGGGTTGTGGAAGTAGCTTGAGGACCCATGAGATAGGGATGAAAGAGAAGAATTATGCTCAGGACAGAGAAATGTCAGTTACCAGGAGGAGACAGAAAGGCTGTTTGAGAAAAGATTCAGGCAAAGTGAAAGCTGCTCCCAGAAGAGTGGGGTCACACAGCACACTCAGGAGTGGCTAACGAACAGAAGGCCAGGTGGTCTAGGAAAGGGGAGGCATGAGCTGGAAGCAAATGAGAATAATGGCAATCACTCTCCATCAGAAATGTGGGCACTTTCTTTGGAGAATTCTTACTATAGATGAGCTATCGTTATTCATAAACTGTGAATGAGGTCTTAAAAATGTATAATGCAGAAGAAAATATATTCTTTGGGTTGAAAATACTATCCTTCTAAAAAGTTTTCTCAATCATTGACATTTCCCACAATATGTCCTATTAACAAACCTCAGACCAAATAGTCAGAGAGGAATGGGGCTAACTGAAACAAAGGTTCTTGCAGCTCTAGAATCCCATGATTCTATACTATAATATAATTAATTTATATCAAATCTATATTATATACTAAAGCATTAATTAATCACCATGAGATTCTCAGTAGCACCTGTAGAAAAATTGTTAATACACAGAAAAGTTCAATTCCAGTTTGAACAGTATGAAAAGAGAAAATATAACTCAAAATAGAATTTAATCACTAGATCTAAGTGGCGGAAATTTTATTGGCATCATAATACTACAGGCAAAATACTATGCATGATGACTGCTCTCAGTAAAGGCAAGGAAGGTATATTTACAAAATATGGTCCAACATTCAAAGAGCAAAATGGAAAAAAAAAAGAGCACTGGCCATGTTGACCAAATATTTTATTTTAAATTATTCTTTAAATTATTGAATTAAGAAGTAATTATTTAAAGTTAATTATAGTTCTATGAGGTATTCAGATATAAATTGCAAATTAATTATTTAAAATCAGAAATGGTTATGATCACCCAGAAATATGTAAATAGCTCTTATTATATAAATTTATATTAAAATAAATTACAGTCTATGTTTATCATAGCAATTTTACTTGTTATATGACCTTTCCAATGAACTCATCACTCTTGTGGCAACTAAACGACCTATCTCTACCTGGAGTAGGCATCTTTGTAAATCAGAAAGCTTAACACTCTACCTTTCTTTTTGCACATTGCTAAAAATAAAACACACAAAAATATCCAAATCCAAACACAATATAAGCTGACATTCTATAATAATCACCAGCATTGGAAAATCAAAGGACTGATTTCCAGCCAATTATGTTAACCATGGTTATATATTATAGAGGGAGAAATTTAAACTTTGTCAAGCTCAGGGGATTACTTGAGAGTACAATCAATTATAGGAAGCAAAAGAAAATAAACTGTCAAAGAAATTCTAGACAGTGAGGAAAAAAGGTAAAAGTTCAATTTCACTCCCAAGTTTGAGGAACAATTGACAACATACAAATAAACAATGTTTTCAAACAGACATACATAAAAGCACCTACTCTTTCTTATCTAGTCTCTCTCTCTCTCTCTCTCTCTCTCTCTCTCTCTCTCTCTCTCTCTCTCTCTCCTCTCTCTCAGAGGTACTTATAGGGTAAACATATAACTAATGCTGATTCACAAATCCATATATCAATGAATCTTTGCATAGATATTCACATTTCACTGAATTTCCTCATTTTCTAATATTCATAAAGTTAAACTTAAAAAAATAAAATATTTTATAAACAACAAATATTTAGATAGAAGGCAAGTGATACTTGATTGAAAAAGTAGAATTTTGGGGTAAGTCATAGATAAGTAGAAAATAAGAGGGAATAACACAGAATGTTATTAAAATGTCAAAAGGATCATATGTATTTTTAACAAACTAAAGAGAAGGAATTACTGTATACTCTAACCCATGTGGCAAAGTTAAACTGGAATAATCCACTGAAGATCTGGAAAAAGAACGCTAGGATGAAAGTAGCCATTATGTTTTCACAGACCACTGCCCATAAAATACCTGTTTACTATGTCTTCTCCATCCCAGCATGGCAGTCCATCAGCAGCGGCTAAGTCATTAACACAAAGCTGATCAGCCAGACCCCCATAAAATGACCCGTGCAGTCGAAGGCTGTTGATAAATTCTCTGAATGGAAAAAAACACACAAAGAAAACTATTAAAACCAAAAATCCATAACAAATGCCAATATAAATGGCCTAATTTGATAAATAAAAGGTCTAGAATGCAAATTTTTGTTTTCTCTAACTATTTTTATATATTTTCAATACTTTTCTAACAATCAAGATAAATACCACATTTATTTTTAAAAACATGTATAGAAATTATTTGTTTTGAATAAAAGTTTCCACTGGGTATGAATCATATTATTATACCTACAGGTCCAAGAAGTAGTAACTAGCACGTGTGTGTGCGCGCACACACACACACACACACACACACACACACACTTCACTTAGTTTCCCTAGAAGCTCTCACTAGCTGTTGGCTTGGAAACCACAGTGATAACTAATTACTTCCTTTTCCATATAGAAATGTCAGAGTCTTATAACATGTCAGTTGTTTGCTTACTGATTAAAAGTTTAGTAGTAGACTTATGATTTTCCCATCTGGATCTTCTCTTTGGTGTCTAAGAACATAAAGTGATGTGTTTTTACTGAATATGAAAAACCAAGATATGCAACATATTTCAGAGGCTTGAAAATAAAAGTTATTGGAAGGAAAACTACTTTAATATGTTAACTAACTTTTCCCCTTTCACTATACTCCCTTCCTCCATCAAGTTCAGAAAGGAATAATTCAGCACAAAAGCAGTTTGTTTGGGTTTTCAATTTAGAAAGCCAAGAATTTTGAGTTTTAAAACCAAGTCTTTCAGGTTCCAAGAACTTGGTTTTAACATTTCAAAAGACCACGTCCTGAAGACTTTAGTTTGAATGTTTTTTACATAAACAAATGCTTTGGAAAAAATGAAAAGCTACTAGCTTGATACATAGGAGATAATTTCTGGGCTAGAAGGAAGGGGTAGGAAAATGAAAGGTTTGAATGAAAGCAAACTTCAGAAATTCATCGCTTGAGTAGTTAAAATGTAGCAATTATGAAACTGCATCTCCCACTGAAAAATTTTTTTAAATTTCTTTAAAAATCGGATCAAAAACAAGGGGTGAATCTGTAGTATAGCTGAAATAACTATTTTTTAATAAATACGATTTTGACTGACATGCTCAAAGTATTAATTTCATAATTCTTTCTTACGGTTTTCATAGAACTCTTTTGTTTTTTGTTTTTTTAAAAAACTGATGGAATTGTAAATAACCATTCATCTGGAATGATAATTGTAATTCTCAAATATGCAACATCTGATATCCTAGAGACGATAAGAAGTCCCCACAGCAAGTGTTTGGTGAGTATTTAATCAACTTTTAGCAAAGCTTGGCCAGACAAGTAATAACAAAATCATCACAAGAAGCATAAATCTGATTCAACTCTAACTTACACTCAATAAAAAATGCTTTATTTTCCTTCTAGCATAGTAACTACTTATTTATATTTTGTCAGTTTTCTCTACTAGAAAATAAAAGTCCTCCTTAATGTCTATATCCTTACTAACTCGAGTGCATGAACAAATATCAATTCTCATGTTGCAGCTACTAAAATATAATTGAGGGTGACTGGTTCTTTCCGAGAGATGTGGAGTTTAATGAATGTTTAAGAAGTGTCCTGAACCTACTTTGAATCGATGAATTTTCTAGAAATGAAGACTCCTGGTACAAACGGCTGAAATGCTAAGACCTCAAAATTGATGGTGTAAAACTGAATAGATATTTTTTATGGAACCCCAACCTCCTCATCCAGTCTTGGTGAATGTCACCCTGGTTTCATTTCTCCCTTCACAACCAATAGACCACAATGGGGAAAGCTTTGCTTCTGTCTTTTTTTCTTTTGGGTTTGTTTTGTCCATTAGTATAGGTCTTAAGGCAGTGGGAGGGCCTATAGCAGACTCAATAAATAGTTATTGAATTAATAAATGAGTAAAAACTAATTAATTCCATTCTCAATGTGTTCAGTTTGAGATTTCTTTGGAATATTCAGAAAGAGAAATCAAGTAGAATGATCCTCTCAAACTTAATTAATGTAATATCTGCGGACCTTGCCCAAATGCAGATTTGGGTTCAAAGGTTGTGGGGAAGGACCCTACATTTCCAAGAAGCACTCAGATGATGCTGACGCTATGGGTACAAGACCATGACTACATCCAAGTTTGCTGTTGGACATGTGACCTTGGAGCTCAATGCCCTGGACATATGATCTGGGAGTCATCATCTGTGGAGGTGCTAGCTGAAGTCCTGGATATGGATGAAATCTCTCAGGAAATAAAATGCAGCCAGGAAAAGCCCAAGGGACCCAGAAAGAGCAAAGGAAGAAAAGCTTTAATGCTAGAGAGCAATGAAAACTTAAAAAATGAGAGAATCTGAACTTGGAGAGTTCTTCATGATGTAAAATGCCATGATCAGCAGTTACCTAAAATAATGAATACGTCCCTTATATGTGGTGACCACCATTGTTATGGACTAAATTGTGTGCCCAAAAATTCATATGCTGGAGCCCTAACCCTCAATGGGACTATATTTGGAGAGAGGGCCTTCAAGGAAGTAATTAAGTTTCAATGAGTCAGATGGTAGGGGCCTATTGTGATATGACTGGTGTCCTAATGAGGAGACACAGAGATGTCCCGGGTACAGGAACACAGAGAAAAGGCCATGAGAGACACAGGAGAAGGTGGCCATCTGCCAGGCAAGGAGGAAACCTTGGGATAAATCAAACCTGCCAACAACTTGATCTTGGACTTCTAGAATCAAATAACTGTGAGAAAATTAATTTTTGTTAATTAATTGTTTAAGCCACCCAGTCTGTAGCATTTTGTTATGGCAGCCCAAGCAAACTGATATAATAGTTAAAGCACTTGGGGAAGGGTAATAAACTTCATATTTGCAGTATGATGAGCATTACATAGGGGGTGAGAACCTGGAAGTGGAGAGTCCCAAAGGAAAGTGTGCTCGGGCGTGCACACACACACACACACATACACACACACACGCGCGCGCTTGTATGAATAAGGAAGAGCTTTGAAAATATTTGTATGTGAAAAGGAAGGAGAACACAAGGGTATGCTGTTATAAGCTTGTTCCCAAACATCCCAAATGTCTACCTTCTGGGCACAAAGCACCTTTGAAGTCCTTTGGTTTTGTGACTTGCTCTGCATTCTGGTAAATGCATGCGGAAGTGAAGTATGTACCTTCCAGCCTTCAGCTTTAAGGACCAAATGTGGCTTTGCCACCTTCTGTTTTCCTCTCCTGTGACAACAGGGAGTATTTTACATGCTGGTTGCTCTGTAATTCTGAGGCTTAAAGCCAGGACAACTTGAACAGCCGGGACTGGTCTAAAATGGGCAAAGATTGCCAACAAAAAACTCTTTTTTTTTGTCCTAAATCAATGATAGATTTGGGTTGTTTACTACTACATCATAATTTAGTCTCTTAATTGATGCAAAGATAAGAAAAGTAAATTAATAATTAATGAACCACAAATTCTGGAAAGAAGGATTCCTGAAAGTAGATAGGGTATGAGCTTTGGAGCAAATTCTCTGAGATTAAATAATGGAAGGAAGTCTATGTGAATGTGGGATAAGGTTTGGTTTGTGAGGACAGAAATTTCAGGAGAGAACCTACTTTGGAACTCTATATTCCATGTCTGGCAGTTTTTAGATCACAGGAATTAAAAGTCGGATTGCAAAAAGAAGTTGCATGAAGGTCAAGGGGGTCTACGTTGGATACAGAAAATAATAATAATTGCAGAAAATAAAGGAGTTAAAACAATAGTAGCCATAGTGAGGTCAAGATTTATCTACCCCCACAGAGCCAATTAATGCTGTTCCTATTACAAGAATCCACAGTTCAGTTTCCAGCTCAATACTTGGTGTACGACACACCATAACTCCTTTTCCAGTTTTACATGAAATGCCTCAATGAATAAAACATTATATTCTTTGGAATAGTCAGAATTTAGGTTGCTGGGAAGGTGACTATATCATTACAATTATTTTTCTATGAGAATATTTCCAGTTAAAATTAACAGCATAACAAATTCAGGGAGATGTTAGAAGTTCCAGCTAATTATCCCCGAGGGACTGTGTTACATATGCCAGTTGCTCATCTTGCTCTTAAAACATCTCTAGAATACAGAAATCAAATATAATTACTACGAGCAAGTTTTAAAATATTTTTAAAAAAAAACAACAGGAAAAGATTCCTGGTCAGAATACTTATTCACAGCCAATATGTCAGGGCTATATACAGTTTCATAATTTTTGATTTGTGCTTGCAACAGTCCAACAAATGATTTCCCTCCTTTGGTTTTGCCCACTCATTTAGCCTTCACTGCATACTGTTGTAAGAATTAGTTTTGGGAATCAGCCATATCACATCCCTACTTTCAAATCCTAAGAATTCAAGTCAAATGTCTTGCCATGGCATATAACCTCTATACTCCTTGCCCCTAGCATCCTATGACAGTCCCCTACCCTCCACTCACACACCCAGCCAAAAACCGCATACTTCTATTGCATAAGATATTTTAACATTAACCAGATAATATTCCAAGTTAGCACATACAATTTCCTCTACCCAGAACTGCCTTCTCCTCCTGCTCCACTCTCCCAACCCCTACCCATCAGTCGTGATCCAGTTGAAACCTCATTTCCTCTCTGACCCCCGCCCACAGCCTGTGCGGCTTTTGTTGGTTCACCCTGTTTCTCACAGCACTTAGCGCCTGTTCTACAACCCTAGCTTGGTGGTATTGTAACTCCTCTGTTTGTATATATGCCTCCCTGATTGTAATTCCTCTGTTTGTATATCTGTGTTCCCTAAAGGCAAACATCATGTCTTCTTCATGTTAAAAAAAAAAAAGCTTTTATTTATTTTAGAAAGAGAGGAGAGAGAAACATCGACTGGTTGCCTCACATACTCACCCTGACTGGGGATGGAACCCTCAACCTGGGCATGTGCCCTGACCAGGAATTGAACCAGTGACCTTTTGGTACATGGGACAATGCTCAACCAACTGAGCCACAC